ATCGCAAACATGGTGTTTTCTGATAGTGTGAGGCACAGATTGTGGGCAAAACAAGCTCTCATGAAAGGAGTTTCCCCTCCCTGCACATGACTGTGACAGAGTTGTTGAAGTCTCCTAAACCAGAGTCGCTTGTGCACGTTTCGGACAACTGGAAGATGAGACCTGATGCCGCCTGGTGTGGAAGGAAGCGCAGCACAAAATACAAACACGACCCTTCCACTGTGACCATCAATGCCTGCAAGCTGCCAAGGGGACCTTTTTTCTTATGTCCTGCTGACAATTGTCAGCTCTAGAATCACCACCTTCTGCTGCCGCAAATACAAGGGTTAGGCATACAGTGTGGGCAAAACAAGCTCTCATGACACGAGTTTCCCCTCCCTGCGTGTGACTGTGACAGTGTTGTTGATGGCACTGAAACACAGAGCCACTTGGCAAATTCTACTTTTTTTGCACTTTGCCTCCGGGTTCCTATCCATTCAAATTTCTGGTTGTTGTGACAGGAGCTGCAACTGTTGCAGCATGTCTCTCAAGTGAATGGCGGCAGACAGCCTGGTCTGCCACTGATCTGGTGTCACCGCCAAAGCAACAGACCTTGCGTTCCTCGTTTTTAATGGAACAACAAATACACAACAGCATTCGCACACAACTGTGTCCGAACTCAGGCAATGGCCAGATGAAACAAGCACACAACCAATTTGGTTCCGCAACTCATCAGTCCATCAAACACAAGACAATATTTCACCCAGGTCTGTTGTCACTGTACAAGCATTCTTGTTGGCCATCCCAGAACTTACCATGGACGCAAGGTCCACATCTGTCTCACTCAAGTGGAACTCGACCATCTTATCCATGCCATTCCTTGCACCCCAATGAAGAGGTGTGTATTCGTCCTGCACCGCAGCCACAACATTTTTCACCATGTACCACATTTCCAGCAAGAAAGTGTGCTGCTAACATCCAATGTTACCAACCAACAGTTATGCGACTGCCCCACAAATGTGACGCACCCAATCATGGATCCAGTGCTGACACAGCTTTGTTGCCTGCCGCTCCAGTGATATTTCGAGGTCTTGGAGCATCTGCTCGAGGCCTTCGGGAATCTTGCATTGTTGTGGAATGCCCAACACCTCCAAACATTCCAAATCCTTCACAAACAGTGGAAAGGCCATGTGTTCATTCCCTTGGAGCCTCAGAATCCTCAACTCCAACCATGTGCTCCCAATGGCATCAGGAATGTCCATCAATCGCCAACATCGTTGGACATCCAACTCTTGCAAATTAGAAAGGTTTGCCATAGTGCCAGGCAGTTCCACAAGCCTGCCACACTTGTGCAAAATCAACACCTCCAACCGACCCAACTGACCAATGCTAGCTGGCAAACTCGTCAACTGCCAACAGTCACCCAAATTCAGTGCAGTCAAACTTGTCAAATCTCCGAAATTCGGAGGCAGTTCCTTGAGGCCAGTGCACCTGCTCAAGTCCAACATGGTCAAGCTGTGCCATGCTTTCATGTCGGGATGCCAGGAGTGCGCAACACCACACTGGGGCATCAATAACTTGGTCAGCATCGACAGATTTCCAAGGGATGTAGGAACTTCGCAAATGCTTCTACAACCCCTCATGGACAGCACTCTCAATTGCACCAATTCACCGACTTCAACAGGAAGATATGCCAACTTTTCACAATAATCCAGCCTGAGCAGCTGCGCAGACTGCAGACACGATATTTTTGATGGCAATTCAACGATGCTCGGAGATCGTCAGCCATCTGCTGGGCCAGCTTTGGCCGGCTGGGCGCTGGGATAGGGCGCAGCTCGAGATCCCCGCATTTTCAACACCGCAGCCTTCAAACTCGCATGTAGATTCGCAGGCCTCGCGACCAAGTTCAATGTTTCCACTCGGACCGCAGAAACCTTCTTGCCGCAAGCAAGGTTTGATCCTTCCGCAATTGCTGCCCCAAATGGACGACACTAACCGCGGGTAATTTCGCACTTTGCTTGGCTAACCATTGGGACGCGGTTCCGGCGAGGTCCTCGGGGCAAGTCGCCGAAGCAGGTCAAAAGCGTAGCCCCCGAAGGGTACTCGCAAGACAGGGGGGTCCGGGGGCGGAGCCCCCGGCCGCCGGAGATAATGGGATTAATGAGTTTAATGGACATTAATGGAATTGTGTGCCGCGGCTTGTAAGAGCGTGCGCGGCCACGCCGATTGTAGTTCGATCTTTCTGGAACAGCTTGCCTCCCTGCCTCCTCGAGCGCAGTAGCCGCGCGCCTCGGACGGGACCGCACAGAGCGGCCGTCACCCACGGGCCAGAGAGAGCCCGGGACACGCCGTCCGGCCGAGGACGATCACGCTTCCGACGGAGAGGCCCTACAGCGCGGGCCAGGGTACCTGGACGCGGCCAAGGGGGAGCCGCGCCAACACTAACCTCTGCCGTCTTGACATTTCTTCAGCGTCGACAATATGGAGAGCACAATCACGGACAACGTCATGCAAGTAATAGTGCACCCCACCATCGACAGGTTGAAATTCCAGAATGTCGTAGGTATCTTGTCCTCCTTGCTTGATCAACGCCTGGTCCTCAAGGTCCCTCAACACTCGTCGCACTTTGCGCTCGTCAGCACATCTTCCTAGGCATTTTTGTAGTTCTGCCTCATCACACACACTGCCACGATAGTCTTCAGGCAGTGTTGCCAAGTCCAGCAACACGCTCTGATGCACAAAGCCCAACCTGTTGAAGCTTACACCAAACACGCGATCAGCCACAGCCGTTTGGAAAAATGAGCTTGTTGTGAGGGCATCCACGGCATCCTTCCACATGTCCTTTTCCTCACGGCCCCCCATCTCTCTGATGCTCTTTGCCACCTTCCCCATGATTTCCAGAGCAAGTGGCAAGCCCCCACATTTTTCGACAATGGCTTCTATATGCTTATGTTGCCACCTCTTTGGCTTGTCTTCACCAAAGGCATGCTTGCAAAACAATTCGTGTGACTCTTTGTTGTCCAAGCAAGTGACATCGTGGCACCTTGCGTGCACAATTCTGGCAACTTTGTCATCCCGTGAAGTTATAAGCACACGGCCACTTGTTGATGCAACAGCAAGGTGCACCATGTCACCCTCATTCCACATATCATCAAGCACAAGAAGGAATGTTTTGCCTTGCAATTTTCCTTGCAGCTGCAACTTGCCATCTTCGACACTGCAAAACTCCACCTTTTCTCCCACGAAAGCCTCCCATATTCTCTTGTGGCACTGCAAGATATTAGGTTGTTGTGACACTGTGATGAACACCACACCAAGACAACCAGTTTTCTCATCTTTTGCAAACCTGGCTTTGATCCGCTCATCATTCACAATCGACCTCGCGAGTGTGGTCTTCCCTACCCCGCCCATGCCCAAGAGCGCCACGTAGTTATTCTCACTGCCCATCAAAATTCCCGTGATGAGGGATACCTGCACAGCTTGGCCAACTGCCTCCACCTTACTTGGAAGACTATGAGACACAGCAGTGCCATCTTTACGCACAATTGATGCTACCCTTGATGCTACCCCTGATGTTACCCTTGACACCATTCCTGGCAATACTGGTCACAACAATAGCACAACTACCATCAACATTCTATTTAACAAATGAATTGATCAAAGCACCACATGTCAACATCGATGCAACAGCCTTGCAAACACATATACAATAAATGTATGTGCTTTTGCAAACATGCACAATCCACAATTCACTAACAAAAGGCTTCGCAGGCATAGGCCTATATACCAACAGAGATACAATGTTATCATACAAAACTGCAAACCGTCTTCTATCCAAGACAGCATCATCGTGGCACACTTGTGTAGTGATGTACTCTCCTTGAAATGAAGATTTTCTGCAGACTGGGCGTGACCTCGGAAATGGCAAATGAGCAACAACACAATTTGCCAATGAATGGGCTATGGTACAAGCAAATTTCATGCCAGAAGTTACACTTGTCAATACGGACCTCATAAGCACCATAGGTTTATAGTGCTTCTATATAGTGTTACCTTTCCACACAACAAGATGGCCAAGATTGAAGGGACTAGCACCAACATTTGGGGATAGGGGGCACTACAACAGGTCTTTGTGAGACAACCCAGATCAACGGCCACATATGCCGACTCCAGTTTGCGTGGTCAATGGCAGAAGTGAATTGCATGATATCAACGCTAGCCAAGGCACAGCAACTACAAATTTTCATCTTGATGGACATAGATAACAATGAAATGAAGTAAGTGCTCATGCAGAGTCCAACATCATGCATTGCATTTTTCAACATTGTTCAATGTTCAACATTGGAGAGGTGTTCCATTGTTGATTGCGCAGTGGTCTCTCTTGTTCCTTGCAACTCACAGGTGCTTTCCAAACGATCTGGCATGTCCTGGACAGCCTTGTTCGTGTCGTGCTGCTCGTATGCTGACAACCGCAGCTCGCACTCTGATGCCAGCTTCAGAACTGCAGACGGCCCCGGTTTTCCCTTGAATACCCCATGTACGGTCATCTGCACCGTTGACTGGTACTCGAAACTCTCGAGTTGTCGGGCGCCCTCCTCTATCACGCCCAGCAACTCTGACAGCTCCTCAAACCGACGCTCTTCCCGGCCCTGCACAGCACGCTGCAGCGTCTCCACGGTGCGCTCCGCGACTCGCGCGAGCGTCGTTCGCGCCGGCTGGAGGTTGTCCACATCGGACTTGACCCTTCCCGCCACCTCGAGGGCGAAGCCCAGCACTGACAGGGCCGGACCGACGACGGGCAGGGTGCCCAGGGCGTCCTTCGCAATCGCTCCGGCGGTGTTCAGGACGCTGACAACCGACTGGGCAGTGGCCAGCTGATGCGCGCGGAGGGGCCAGCCCATCGGCTCTCTCTCCGGCAATTTTTCGAGTCCAACGCCGGCGCCCGCCCGACTGTTCAGCAGATCGATCCACGGCCGCACTCGCCACCGCAACGCAGCCACCCACTGTGCTGCATCGTCCGCGGTCTCCGCCCTGAACTCCTGCTTGTCCTCTCCAAGCTGCACCGCCCACTGGCAGTCCCCCTCCGTGTGGATCACTTCCGTGCGGCCCCGCACCAGCGCCATGCTGTGCCCCTTGCCCACCCAGGCCTTGGTGTCCTTTGGCAGGACTCCGTCGCCCTTTGCGCCGATCCACCTGAGGTCCATACGAGCCAGCACGTGCACGCGCTTCCATCGATTCGACCGCGGCGACCAGACCTCCAGGCAGCCGGCATCCGGGGCCATCAACGTCCACCGCGCATCCTCTGTTGTATGTTCATCGGTGCCTTCGCCGGTGCTGGCCATCGCCCAGGGCGCTGGGAAGGCCTTGTCGAACGGCCTGGTGATCAGACCTGAGGGCCAAAAGCGCATCTCCGCTCAGAACCGAGACGCCATTCCAAAGAGCACTCCCGGGCAGGCGCCAAGGGAGCAGCGGGGCAGGGTGGCTCCAAGACGCGTTGCACAGCACACAGGGCAGAGATAGCCATCGAAACATCATGGTCCTCCCCCCTCCCCACCCACCCACACACACAACCACACACACACACACACACACGCACACACGCACACACCACCACCACCAACGCGCAACCTCTTCCCAGCAGGCGACGACGGAAATTCGATGCAATTCCGGGTGGCGAGGTGTGAGAACGCCACGCCGCGCCTCTCAGCTTGGCAACAGCGGTGCCGTCGATGCGATCGACGGGCTCCCGCCAGAGCGACGCACAATACCCCTGAGCAGGGACTTCCACCAGGACCCTGCAGTGGCGATGGACCAGCCTCGACACTTGGGGGAGCCCTTCGCGGCTCCGACAACATCCGAGAACCCGCAGAGCCATTCCACAACACTGCCATTTTCTGTGCTTCGCCAGAATCCGTGCAAGCCGCCATCGCTGCCGCACACCCACAAAAACCAGGCCAGCGCGCGTCCAGACGCCCCCAACGCCATGATCGGCTCGCGGCGGTGCGCCAGCCCTCCCGCTGGCGTTCACTCACCGGCCTTGCGCCACCGATGGCTTCAAGAAGGGAGGCGCCTGCCTGGCAGCCGCGCTCAGTCGAGCCCGGTGCAGTCGACGCCCTTTTGCGGGTCCTTGAGGCCGTCCGCTGACGCTTCCACCCGGAAGCCGCTGGGGCTGCGGCCGAAACGCTGGGCCGCCGCCTCCAGAAGAGGTTGAGTGACGCCTGTGGGCACTTCTTGTTGAAGGCGGTCTGCCCGGATGACGCAACTGCTGAGCGGGCCAGGAAAACAGAACCCGGTGACCGCCCATGGCCGCCCATTCCGATGTGTCAATTCAGCGGGGGCAGCCTCCCGCCATGACGAGCCGCATCAAAAAGAGGCCGCGGTGGCCGCGGTGTTTGCCATCGCCGGACGATGGGCCGCTTTCGCGGGCTGGGGCTGTGATCTGCGGCGTTGAGCCTCGCACCGCCACAGGTGCACGGATGGCGAATCTGGCAGAGCAACGCTGGTCACACACTCATCACGCCCACGTAACCCCCAAGTCACAGGGCCTAATGCTACACGAGAAAGCTGACTCGGATTCTAAGAAACTCATTTCTGCCTGACGGGATCCTTTTCCCGCCCGAGTCCACACTTAGTGCGTTACAATATTTTCCAGCAGGTGTCTGGCACCCAAACAAACCCCAATGACCGCGACCGTAGCATTTGTCCTTGCTTAGCGAATCGAAATACTGTACTTTGCACTGCGCTTTGCGCTGTACTTTGCACTGTACTACTCCAGTGCTGTACTTTCCGCAGTACTTTGCACTTCACAGATTCCGCCTTCCAGCCGAAATCGCACTCCAAGGGATGGGCGGGAGGGAGAGCAAAACAGGTAAGAGGGCACCCGCCTTCCGCCAAGACATGCCCAACCTCTCACGTGGCCAACTAGCCGTGGCCCCCTTTTAAAAACGTGCCCAAACACAGCTATTCATCAGCCATCGCTCGTCGCCCTTGGTTGGGTTTGACGCCCCGGCGACGGCCAAGGGCCACTCCAGTGTGGCGCCCCTCATAGCTAGGATACTGGCGTGTTCGCTTCTTTGACGTCTCCCTAAGCAGCAGCACTACGTTAACTACGCTAACGCTCTTTCCAGCGCGCTTCAGGTTTGGTTTCGAGCGTACAACGTTAGATCACATCGGCCAGCTGTCCCGGCCAGCTGATTTGGGGCCGGTACATTGGCGCTGTGCTTCAGAGGGGCGGGACTGAGCTGTGTCCCACCCGTCGCGGCACAGCACAAGGGGCTTGAATCTGCGATTGCCCCTTCCCCCTTGACCTGGCAGAAGAGGCAGGAGAGTCAGTGACAATTTGGCAACTGACATGTCGGCAATGGACCATTCATCGGCCATGTTATCCCTCTTGGCCCTTGTGACTCCCAACTGTGAGGAAAATGGGAAGCTGACGGCAACCTCCTCGCCCGTTGTATGAGGATGATGATGATGATGAAGACTACTCAACTGTGCCTGGCCCTCATGTCCACCCATTAATTGCACCATCACAGCGACCGTTCATCGACCATGTCCTGGTCCCATTCCTAGACGATGGAGCATGCACCGTGCACTGTTGTGCCTAGAGGCAAATAGCAGCTACTATTGGCACCTCCCGAGGACAGTGGAGACTTTAGGATGTGCATCTTTTGATTGCTTTTAATGCAGGCGAACACAGCAAAACACAGAAAAGGCAACAAATAGAACCCGTGCACTTTCAAGGTGGTGTTGGGAGCAGGTGTGCATGCTGATTGCCAGAAACGGGATCAATGCAACGCCAACGTCACAAATGAGCTCTTGGGATGACACATGCAGAGAGGCAAGACATGCCTGTGCACAATGCACCTGCAGTTTTCCACAGGCTTGGTTTTTACTTTAACGTTCACGTTTTTACTTTTGCGTTTTTACGCGTAAAAATGTAAATCTGCAAAGTGGCCTATTTTTACGGCTATTTTTACATTTTTACGGCTCCCTGGGACATCCAGGTTATACGATGAAAGTTGTGTATAATGATCGGTCCTCCGCCAACTCCAGCACCCGCAACACAATGTCCACCCCGCCTTTGGCAAGGGCGATGATGGCGTTTAACGAAAACTCGTTTTCTACCCCTTCCAGGGCGCCTAGCTGCCACTCTCCTGACTCTGTAAGTCTGTTTGTATTGTCCTTAAGTACACCGGACAGTTTTTACGTTGCATTTACGTATTTTTACGCATTTTTACGCGTAAAAACGTAAAAACTATTTTTACGCGTAAAAACGTAAGTGCGATCAGCTTTTACAGCGTAAAAACCAAGCCTGGTTTTCCACATGCTGATGAGTCCAGTATGTGGCCAGCTTCGTGCCGGTCGAGGCGGAATTGAGGTACAACGTCTTAAGTGTAGTTCGGTTGTACCCGCAGATGAAGACTGAAGCTGGAAGGGAGCTTTGAGCGCGCAGGGCAGTGACTTGCGCAGCACTCCTGCCAACTGGGCTTGCATGGTGATCAATAGGCACCAGCTGTGGCGGGCAGGCTGCTGTTGCACAAGCCTTGGTAGATTTTCGACGCCTCGTTTTGTAAATCCATATATAGCATGAAGATAATCTAGATGGGACCTGTTTGTGCAAGACAAACCTGCATGTGTCATTAAATTTCTGTATTCTTTTGTACGCGCCGTGGGGTCCTTGCAGACTGCTAGCAAGGTGATGCTGTTTGATCATCGTAAGCCTCGGCGGGTGCTGCTGAATCGCCGTGCCGCTGCCCATGACCGTCAACGACATTGAATGGTGGCGGCAGCGCCACAGTGCGGAAGAATTTCTGTGAAAACCAGTGCAAACATGTCGCAATCGAACGGTTCGGCGACACCAACACCTGCTTCGCGACAGGGAGGCTCACTGTACATATGTGCAATGCACTGGAAGCCGCATCTTTGGACCAATGCAGGGCAGGTCCGAGGGTGGCTTCCACTCTTGCTCCCGCACGTGAGGCCGCAAGAAGTATCTGAAGGCCAGGAAAATGCTGTGATGGGGAAGGACGTCAGGCCCCAGCGCCCCCGCATTCTGGTGTGGAAGTGGCTCAACTCGCAATGCAGCACTTCGGGCTACAGTTGCTTCGGCTGCATCAACCACAGGCCGCCAGAAGAGAGGACTTCAAGCCCAGCTGCTCAACTGTGTGTGTTCGCAGACGCCTGCAATTTGCAATGCTCGACACCATCGCCCGTCTAACAAGTCCCAAAGTTGCAAGACTTCAGCTTGGCATACCCTGTGACAAGGTAACGATGCACTGAAACCTGTACAGTCAGTGGAATCAGCCACCTGTCGCTTGGACCAATCTCTAAACCGTTGGACGAAACGCACATCACTTGCATACAAAGGAACTGAATGCGTTCTTGGTTCCCCATCTTGCACAGTTTGTAGGGAAAAAACAGAAAAGAAGGGCCCTACAAAGGGATGTACTTCACCTGGGATCTCATTTTAGCACGACTCGGATGACCAGTAGCATAGGCAGGTAAAGAAAAACCCCACCCGTGCTGAAGCAACGAGTAGCTCACCAGGAAACGCAAGAGGGGTTGAACGATTCGAGCCTCTAAGTCAGGGCTCAAACATCGGGCTCAAAGGCGATCTCATACAGCCCAGCTGCAAATGGGTTGCAGAACATGACCGTTATTTAAATTGACAAATGACAAATTTGTCAGTCTGACACAACATTCAAAGCCAACATTTCAACAGGGTTGTTATTTATGCCGGAAACACAGACCGCATTTATGTTTTTATGCAAGAATGGTTTTTACGTTCTTGCGCGCAAATATGGTTTTTACGTTTCTACGTGTAAAACGCGTAAAAATACCTAAAAATACAACGTGAAAATAGCACCGCGTACCTAAGGACAGTACACACAGCCCTCGGGACTCCGGGGAATGGCATCTAGAAGCACCGGAATGGGGAGAAACGAATTTTGTTCCACTCCATCGTGGCCCTTGCCGAGTGGGAAGTGGACGCAGTGTTGCGGGCGCTCAAGGGGGCGGAATACTTATCACTGTAAGGAACTTCCATTGTGTAACAACGAGCCGTAAAAATGTAAAAACAGCCCGTAGAAAGGGCCGCGACCGCTTGAAGATCACAATACCACAATGCCGCAAACATCCACTCCATGCCCACGGTATGATTTCAAATAGTGTCTGAGATGTCACGATGGGCACCAGAAGGGGATGTGCATTTCGCGCCACAAGATGAGATCGAAATTGGTGTGCAAGGCTCTTTACACCTGCCGATGCCCAGCCAGAGAGGCACTTGTTGCATTTCCTCCAGGAGATCGCCTGCGTGCCACAGTGCACAGGGCCCTCCTGCCAA